CTTGCTGTTTCTCATTCGCCTCTTTGGTCTCGCGTCATCGCTCCCCATGGGAGCAACAGAGCCGTTCGCTCTGACGCTTGCTGTGTCCATCGCCTCTTTGGTCTCGCGTCATCGCTCCCCATGGAGCAACAGAGCCAGCGCTCTCGCGCTCTGACGCCTGCTGTGTCTCATCCGCCTCTTTGGTCTCGCGTCATCGCTCCCCATGGGAGCAACAGAGCCGTTCGCTCTGACGCTGCTGTGTCTCATCCGCCTCTTTGGTCTCGCGTCATCACTCCCCATGGGAGCAACAGAGCCGTTCGCTCTGACGCTGCTGTCTCGTCCGCCTCTTTGGTCTCGCGTCATCGCTCCCCATGGGAGCAACAGAGCCGTTCGCTCTGACGCTTGCTCTGTCCCATTCGCCTCTTTGGTCTCGCGTCATCGCTCCCCATGGGAGCAACAGAGCCGTTCGCTCTGACGCTTGCTGTCTCGTCCGCCTCTTTGGTCTCGCGTCATCGCTCCCCATGGGAGCAACAGAGCCGTTCGCTCTGACGCTTGCTGTCTCGTCTCGCCTCTTTGGTCTCGCGTCCTCGCTCCCCATGGGAGCAACAGAGCCGTTCGCTCTGACGCTTGCTGTGTCTGTCCTCTCTCTTTGTCTCGCGTCCTCGCTCCCCATGGGAGCAACAGAGCCGTTCGCTCTGACGCTTGCTGTGTCTCATCCGCCTCTTTGGTCTCGCGTCATCGCTCCCCATGGGAGCAACAGAGCCGTTCGCTCTGACGCTTGCTGTGTCTCATCCGCCTCTTTGGTCTCGCGTCCTCGCTCCCCATGGGAGCAAAGAGCCGTTCGCTCTGACGCTTGCTGTGTCTCATCCGCCTCTTTGGTCTCGCGTCCTCGCTCCCCCATGGGAGCAACATAGCAGTTTGCTATAGCGCTTTCTGTAGCTCATTCCTCTCTTTACTCTCGCGTCCTCGCTCCCCATGGGAGCCTCACAGCAGTTATCTACAATGCTTTCTGTGTCTTACTTACCTCGTTGCTATCATATCTTCGCTCCTTGAGGCAGGAAAAAAAATGAAATCTATCTCCCACTCTGTGTGACCCGTTTCCTTGCATCGACTCAGATTTATAACTTGAGCTCAAGCCATGTAGGTCTTCTTAACGAAATTGCAAAAAGACCACTGTCAGATGTAACACAGCACAAACACGTAGATTATTGCTTCTGGGAAACACAGTGCAATTTGACACTTTCCAGTAATTTTCTTGCATTTCCCCGAATGAAAAATACACCCTGTGGTATTTCAACAGAATCTGAAAATACAATCAAACTTTCCTTTCGTTGTGTCCCAAATATTGATCAATATGGGACTTAGTCGCGATTTTGTTCTGGTTGGCCCCAGCGCTCTCGACTCTCGACCATGACCGTGCACCAGGATCCTTAATGCAAACACAATTGCTGGTGGTGTTACATTGGGAAGCTCTTGTTTATCATGCTAATCCCCCTCACGAGTCACAGATGCAACAACTCAACGACTCGTTATCAATGTACGTGACATTTTAGTTGACCAATTTCAGGGCTAATGTTATACTACAATGTCCCGCTCAGCTCGAGGAGCTTATCGACTTCTGAGGTTCAACGTGTGATCATGTGCGAGACGGCCACAGCTCATGTACGTTGTCAACATTTCTCAATGAGTTGTTCTTCTGACTTGAATGCTTTCAGTCCTCTGTGACGTCACCTAGCCTATCCATCAACCATCCACACGCAGCCGCCGCCATGCTCTCGCATTGAGTCTCGTTAACCGGAACTGATCTCGCAAATCGATTGGGTGTGTTATGTGGTTGACAATATGCGCATATATTCACTTTATTTCAGTAGGGCTCTCCACTTTACGCCCAGACTTGACACTTCCAGTAAGATGTCTACACGAGTAATGAATTCTGAAAGCTGATGCCCCCATTTTTCTTTTTTCTCCAGCTTAGGCACTCACCATCTTGATCACTCTCATCAAAAGCTCTCGAGTCGAAACTTGCGGAGCACAGTACTGGCTGGGCGGGTGTTTCGAATGCATTATATCACTCAAACATCAGTCGTACTCTGCTATATAGTATACCCATAATGTCTATACTGTAAATATATTATATTAATGAGCTGCAGCTAGGACGAGCGTGAAGCTAGCGTGCTATCAAACAATATTTTGAATATAGCAGCTGCATCCATCAAGTACTCCAGGAGAAATCTCTGTGAATTCTGGGTATATTCTATGGGAAAATGTCGCTATAATGATAGCAAAGTCTGTAACCTTTGACAAATTACCAGACGAGAGAGTCTGGCGGAAAACATGGTGATATTCTCGTGTATTTTCACACTTTATCCACATCTTACCCTTTCCATAATCTACTAGTTTGTGCTGTGGTTCTATATTTCTGTACTCGATAATATTAAGTCCACCTCAATATCATGTGTGAACGTGCTGTCCGATAATGTTCTGATGAACGCTGTTCTCAGCATTGTTTTGTTCTCCAGGAACACTGAGAGACATTGAGACCAAGCTTGCCTAATGTATTCAATGTGTAGAAATGGGGATTCGAAGTAGTCGCCTGATTCACTTTGCGCTGCACATATATTGTCTGTCTCCCTTGATGCATCATTCATAGGTGGCTTACTAGTCACTGAATCCATGTGTGTGTCATATGACACCAGTATGTCGACATCACAATGAGCCAATATCTCTGTAGATGTACGCAGATGTTCGATTCATTGCCACCTCCAGTCCGGGATGGGAAAGACCGTTTGGTGAAAACACCTTCTGCTGTTATTCATTTTCATCAAACTGCTCAGAATGATATGTAGACATCACATAGCGCAAGGCAACTTCACATAAAGTTGAAGATCTCCCTGAGCGACAGGTACCGCCACCACCACTAGTCGATCTTACATTCGCACTGCTAACTGAGCCTGCTACAGATGCTACAGACGAACAAGAAGGCAAAAACATTACTTAATCTTGACGATTGTGCGGATTTCTTCCAGCTATGTGCAGCGTTGCACGGTCTGAGCAAATGCGCATAATCGATGCACGTACAGTGAATGATTCAATCGTGATAACCTATCGAAAAAGACTACGATCACCATGTGCAGCTGGGTACAAATAAGTCCGCGCGCACAGCGATTCCAAGGTCTCACCACGACATTAGTGCTGCCCACAAGTAAGGTTAACTACTTACAAAAAATAGCTAGCATGAGACTCTTGGTTTGGAATGGCTCCAATAATATGTGCAAGCGGTGAAGTTCATCGTTTATGTTGTAGTCGCTCGATATGGCGTTGGTTTCAACGTGCATGCGCCACAATGCGGTTCACTATGACACGTTGCATCCTTATGGATCATTTGTTGCTCATTGTTTGTCAATGAAAATCAACGATCAGCTGATTGAACGAAAATCGTCTGATATGCTCTCTACAATGACTGTCCATATCCCCCTCGAGATCGTCATAAAAATTTTTACTCTCGCCACTCGTAGAAGAAATGATGCAGCATCCTGGATTCGGCTTTCTAGACAGACCTACACCCTGTGAGTGTTCAACCCCGCATTAAATCGGTTCTATCTTTACTTATCGTCCACCTACAGATTCGAACGATTACTGTATACTAAGGTCGTCTTGCTAAATGAAAACATTGCATCCACATTCGTGAAATGCTATCGCCTTCGGCAGGCGCACATCGAGGCTCTCCCACCGACCACAGCTATGTTGATGGGCGATGGTATCAAGTACAACACCATAATCGACGTCTTATCGCTTTGCAAAGACATCACAAATCTTTGCATAGTATCACGAGACTCTGACAACATCCTTCCTGATCTAACATCTATCAACCACATCCTGGACACCCTCCCACTCACAGCACTTTCCTTGATCATCAATTCATCGCTCACTAGATCTTCCATGGTGATGGCGAACACATTCGCTAAACTGACGCATCTCGAGATCGACGATGAAGGACTGCTTTGTCGTCTTGACATGAGCGCCTTCCACCAGTTGACCCACCTTGCGCTGTGGACTGACTTGTCCGACCGACGTCTGTACCTCCCCAGGCTGGTCAATCGTCTTCTCCAACTCGCAACGCTGAAAGTGCTTGTTTTCCGTGCAAAGGGTCACCGCTCATGTGCACGGAGCATGGAATACCATGGAATCTTAGATCGTCGCATCGTCATCGCACCATCAAAGGTGTTCGCATGGGATCATTTCGGGCAAGGCTCCATGTTACTTTGGGAGCTCGCCGACGAAACGACAAACATTCCTGGCCCTAACCACAGTAAGTCCGTCTAGGCGACTCTGAAATAGTGATATCAGTTGAAAAATCCCACAGGAAAGCACCGATGCTTCTCAAACAGCACGTTTGAAAATCGATTCAGGGATTTGATGGCTGTTCCTCGGGTACGTCAACGCGATGTAGACCGTGAGCTCGTCCATACTTTGCTGTTCACGAGGCCGGGTATACCACCAGAAACGATTTGGATCCGCAATGATTCCAGTGACGACTCAAGAGAGGAGGAGATCACTGACGATGACAAGGAGGAGGATTCCACAGATGAGGTCATAGACGAAAATTCCCCCAGCGATGACGCAGAGGACGGGTAACATATGGATGTCACATACGATTAGTGCGGTCCAGTAGCATCGTTGACGCTGTCTGTTCTCTGATTTACAATCTATATGTCTGCCACCAAATATATTCATGTACATGCTTCACGAAGGCCATCCTGCGTTTATGCATGACATTGCAATGATGCATTGGTCACTTGGGCTCACAGACGACTGTCTTGACTGATGAATCTATCACCAAATGAGCATACATCGTAACGCTGGCGTACATGAAGTCATTCACGAATCAGTGTATTTGATTCAGATTGTCACGGCCTCAAGGTCGAAACCTCATACTTGAGAAAGTCAATTGGCCCACCATCAGGAAAGACCACCTTGAATATTGGCTAAACGTCGAAGTGCAGATAGATTGCTGCAGTAATATGTCTCTGTGATATGCCAATGTGAACAGACGATACTGAGTGGCGGTAAATATTCTATATGTCATTGAACGACGTGCAGAAGTCACATAATATCAATGAAGAGGGCCAGCGCCCAATTCTGTCTGAGATAGTCTGTGTTGCATGGCCCAGGGAATTGATTATACACCGCGTAGGTATCGCCTGGCGCGCCCATCAACTCCCAGCTGAAGGGGTTGTACACCCCATAGATATCGCGTGGCGCACGTTCTCCAGACCGGGTTATAATCACCCTCGGCAGGGCCTTATTCTGGCTGAGATCGTCTTGGTGGTATGGCCCAAGGATGGGGCTCTACACCCCGTAGGTATCGCCTGTCACACCCATCAACTCCCAGCCGAAGTGGCTGTACACCACATAGGTATCGCCTGGCTCACGTTCTTCATGCCAGGAGATCACCCCACTGGGCCGCGCCCAATTCTGACTGAGATAGTCTGGGTGGTATGGCCCAAGGAAGGGGTTATACACCTCATAGGTATCGCCTGGCGCACCCATAAACTCCTAGCGAAGGTGTTATCCACCCCATAGGAATTGCCTGGCTCACGCCTTTCAGACCAGATTGTGACCACACTGGGCAGCGCCCAATTCTGGCTGAGATGGTATGGGTGGTATGGCCCAGGGAAGGGTTTATACACCGCATCCCATAGGTATTGCTCAGCGCAACCATCAACTCACAAACGATAATATACACGTAATGCTGCACAATTAAATTAAACAGTCATAAAGCGTGCCTCAGAGGAGGATTACACTGACGAAGATTCTCCCTAGGATGACGCAGAAACGGGGTCGACCTAACCATGACACAACCGAGTAACGCGATCCAGGGGCACTTTTGACCCCGTTGGCTCTTTTTCGTACAGTCTATGAGTCTATTACCACATATATTCGTGTACAAGCTACTAGAAGACCATCCCGCATCTATGCATGCTATGGCAATAAGGCAGCGGTGATTTTGGCTCACAGACGAATGCCCAGACTGATATATGTGTCACCAAATGAGCATCCAGTGTAACACCGGCGTACATCAAGTCATTCATGAATCAGTGTATTTGAATGAGATTGCAGGAATATGTCACTGCAATATTCGAATGTCAACAGATGATACTGCGTGGCTATAAATGATCTACAGGTCGTGCACAGACGTACGCAAGTCACAGAACATCAATGTAAATAATATTGCCCATAGGAAACACCATGGACCATGGAAAGAGGCAATTTAAGTCAATCAACAAAATTACATTTCCAGGAATACTGCACGCCATGAATGTGCTCATTATCTAGGACAGTGTACCTCGAGTTCTCCAGACCATTTTATCACAAGTGATAATATACATGCAATACTACACAACAAGATTAGACCGCCATACGTTGTGCATCTGCGTCTCCGAGCACCACTCAAGAATGACTACATGTCCATCACCTGAAGGTCCACCATATCAGTTTCCTGCGTGTGACAGTCAATGCATTGGCTCATAACACATATTTATTGACAAATACTCACACTTGAAGTGAACAGCAACAGTCGCTCCTCATCTAGCATGATGCGTGATATGCAGCCGAGTGGATAGACTTGACTGCTTACAACCTCCCCATATGGAAGAGATGTAGTTACAGGGTCATTACTGAATGCGCTGGTCGTCACAGGATCATGGATAACCCGTCTGATTCCGCGCGCAACAGCGGATGGATTGAAGTCGGCGACATGTAGCTATATTGATGTACCTTGTTTGTTTGAGATCGGTGCAGACCACGCAAACCTCATTCCCACACAGGAAAATAGGTGGTGACGCTTGTCAAGAACGAAGGAACGCATTGGTGTCTGTTTGCGGAATCCTTAGCCTCTCGACGCTTTCTATACTGTCTTATTTTAGCTCCTGAATAAGCTGTTGAAATTGTACTGGACCAACAATCATTTGAACGGTGCGCTTGAAACAACCTTTTTTATGGAGTTTCACAGGACTTGTGAGCTCGGACGACTGGTAAGTAGTTCAGTCTCTGATGCATCTAGCAACCAGTAATAATGTCTATAGACATTCACATTACAACATTATGCCGAGGATTCGCTTCCAAGGCAGACAGAACAAATAATGCTGAAGGCATCCAACTACGAATGTAAAACCGACTATTACCTCCCACCACCAATCCCTTCCTCGTTGCTGCCTTCGTGGTCGCCTTATTTGGCTGAGCCTCGATCACTCAGCGTCGGTCTTGGAAGTGGTGCGTCCAGTTCTACAAGTGTTGGATTTTCGATTTTCCAACTTCACGTCATCTCTATATGCTGTTCAGTGACATCCATGTCTCATTAGCCACGCAGCTTTCACCCTTCCCTCTGAATTCGGCGAACTTCAGGTCCGACCTACGCTTTCTCCTCACCATTCTATTATTGACACACACAGTGGTGAAGCACCGTCACTGATAAGCAATCTTAGAAGCCCGTTTCCAACGAGTTGACCTCATTCTTACTGTTACACGATGGTACTGCATCTTCATACAGGAATATTAAAAAATATACACGCCATTTGACCTTTCAGCGCATCGTGATTGTGTTTTGTATCTAGATACCTTTTTTGCAATAACCAGTGTTATGTTTCTTGATGTAACTTACGATGATGTTTGCAAACTTCACCATCCGGGTATCCTGCAGTGCACTGGCGGGGTACAGCCCATGATAATTCGGACATGCGTATGCACATGTATGACCATTTATCGAGCATAATGTTGGGTGTGCATGGCTACTGGAATTGTAATCATGTAGTTACGTTGACCGCATCAACGTCCGCACAAATGTCCTGACATTAAACGAGGCGTCCCAACAGACGCAAGGATGTCAATGCCATCCATTTACGATAGAGACGAAGTAATAGTGTATTATATATTATTATATTACATAGATCGTCCTGAGGCATGGAGATGGGCCAAGATATTTCAATCCTATAGACAGAAATCCTTCGACATGTTCTACAACCTTTGTGTCGACCTTCGTACAAGCAAAGCGTACACACTCTCACTTGCAGCATTGACATTCCTATAAATTCCGGCATCTCACAAGAAACACATTTAGTATGATATGGTGTATCCTGTCCACTCCAGGTCTCTACTGAGTAATGACAGGTCCACTGACCGCAGAAATTTAACTCGAAAATTATTTTATGGTTTAAAACATATTGTATAGGATCGTGCTAGACTAAATTGGATGATACTCTATGTTGTACAACGGGCGGCAGACTCTGCTGGCTCTATGGCCCGTTTAAGACGGATAAGGGTTCGAACTCTGATTGATAATCACGCACCTGTGGCGTGAGAAAGTCACGTGATGTGATGTTCAAATATCCTGTCAACGTGTTCACACTATTATTTTGCTCTTGTCCCTTGACCTTCATGATGACGTTTAACCATCTTCTATAAGTTCTCTTGTTCTCCCATTTATACCGAATCCTGTCACTGCTTTCTTCTTGCGTCATCGCTCCCCATGGGAGCAGCAGAGCAGTTTGCTCTGGCGCTTGCTGTGTCTCATTTGGCTCTGTGGCTCTTTGTCTCGCGTCATCGCTCCCCATGGGAGCAGCAGAGCAGTTTGCTCTGGCGCTTGCTGTGTCTCATTTGGCTCTGTGGCTCTTTGTCTCGCGTCATCGCTCCCCATGGGAGCAGCAGAGCAGTTTGCTCTGGCGCTTGCTGTGTCTCATTTGGCTCTTTGTCTCGCGTCATCGCTCCCCATGGGAGCAGCAGAGCAGCTTGCTCTGGCGCTTGATGTGTCTCATTTGGCTCTTTGTCTCGCGTCATCGCTCCCCATGGGAGCAGCAGAGCAGCTTGCTCTGGCGCTTGCTGTGTCTCATTTGGCTCTGTGGCTCTTTGTCTCGCGTCATCGCTCCCCATGGGAGCAACAGAGCAGTTTGCTCTGGCGCTTGCTGTGTCTCATTTGGCTCTGTGGCTCTTTGTCTCGCGTCATCGCTCCCCATGGGAGCAACAGAGCAGTTTGCTCTGGCGCTTGCTGTGTCTCATTTGGCTCTTTGTCTCGCGTCATCGCTCCCCATGGGAGCAGCAGAGCAGCTTGCTCTGGCGCTTGCTGTGTCTCATTTGGCTCTGTGGCTCTTTGTCTCGCGTCCTCGCTCCCCATGGGTGCAACAGAACGGTTCTTTCTGGCGCTTGCTGTGTCTCATTTGGCTCTGTGTTCTCGCGTCCTCGCTCCCCATGGGTGCAACAGAGCGGTTCGCTCTGGCGCTTGCTGTGTCTCATTTGGCTCTGTGGCTCTTTGTCTCGCGTCCTCGCTCCCCATGGGTGCAACAGAACGGTTCGCTCTGGCGCTTGCTGTGTCTCATTTGGCTCTGTGGCTCTTTGTCTCGCGTCATCGCTCCCCATGGGAGCAGCAGAGCAGCTTGCTCTGGCGCTTGCTGTGTCTCATTTGGCTCTTTGTCTCGCGTCCTCGCTCCCCATGGGTGCAGCAGAGCAGTTTGCTCTGGCGCTTGCTGTGTCTCATTTGGCTCTTTGTCTCGCGTCCTCGCTCCCCATGGGTGCAACAGAACGGTTCGTTCTGGCGCTTGCTACCACATATTTTCCATATTGCTTTTGCGTCCTTACATCTACCCAAATTTGTCCTTTCAGCTGTAGAATAACCGGTGCACAGGCTATCCACATCTTAATGCAAACAGACTAACAGTGTCAGCCTAGCGAGAGTGACAGAAGAGCAAGCTCAGTGTTATTGTACGTGTGATCAAAGGCGTCGACATAGTTTTCTCTGTTTGTATCTAGTACATCCCAGTAAATCAAGTGAGCTTAATATCATCATGGGAGCTTCTGTATTTGTGTATACAAACATGACTGTTTGCTGTTTGTCGGGTTGCAGTGGATGACTGTAAGAGAGCATCAGTTGCGCATGTTACAAACATCACAAAAGCTTGCCCATGTCGTTGCGTGACTCATACGACTAAGTCAATGATAAATACAACATGTATAAACGCCAGACGCTACGAAACACACAAGGTGACTATGGTCTTTTACACCATTTGTCATCCTGAGCGTTGGGTACCGGCCTTGACCATTTAATTGATCCTGGGATCGCCCGAAATTCAACACATCAGCTGTATTCAAATCCGACTGTCTCGATCTTTTATTCATATGCCAAGTCAGTCCCTCCTCCGTATTCACTAACATGAATCAAATTGTTGCATCGTTTGACAACATCGCGATTTTAAACTTTGCTTTAGAACGGCAACCTTCATTGCCTCGGTTCGACCTCGATGCACCTCCATTCGTCCCACCTCCATTATAACGAAGTGACGACTCGTGTTAACACTAACATCGAGAGCATTTGAAGATTATACTTTATCAGACAAGATATGTGTTGCCTCTAGACTCCTCCACTTAGAACTGGGCGTCCATATGGCGGCCATACTTACGCATGATAACCTGTAAACGGAATCAACTTATAGTTGTCGGGAGAAGTCGTGTAATCGAGTGAACCGAGGATAGTTGCCAGCCAACGATGCCAGCAGGAATGAAACGCGACTTGTCCCTCCTGCTGAAATTACTACATGACCGTAGTCATCGAGTCGATTATTAGTTACATGCAAGATCAATGCCAGAAGAGATTGATGTAACGAGAATGTGGAATCAGGCGTGACATGGCGAAGCACAATGCAAGCGATCACCGTGCTACTCCTGAAAAATTTGCAACATAACGTATCTACGAGCGAGGCCGACATGTATATTCAGGGATAGTATCCTGTAGGAGATCCATCTCAGTGCCTACTCGCCTTAGCGCACTCAAGTTACCGCTCCAACCTCGATCCTCCTGCTGATCAAGCCACCAAAACATATTCGATAGCGGCCATAACTGGCACTGGAAAAGCAGCGTTCCAAGCGCCAACTCGAAGGAAAATACCTCACAGACTCAATCCGTGTCTTTAGGACATGGTATAAGAGGTGGCTCCCATCTCTGATACCCGTTTCCTCGTCACTGAATTTCACAACAAGTGTCGTCGGGTTTCAGATATGCACACATAAACAGAAGTCGGTAGGAATCAAATTAACTCATTATATTGTGTGATCCAGTAAGGAAATATGAGACGAACGGGTTTCTTGCGTAATATATATCCATGCTCAAATATAAATGCCGTATTTCGAATGTTCTCTGATCACTCTCTCGTCTAACTGTCGCGTTCACGATCTCAATTCACGATCTATCTGACGAATTCGCCACCTTCATTCACAACTTGATCTTTCCAATGAAGCGTTCTGCCCCGGGAGACCTTTTCACGCCGAGGATGAGAAAACGCTTTAGATACGATGATCTAGAAACGGACCAGACAGCTTACAATGTATGTACAAGTCCCACTCTCCGTTTATAATCACATCCAACATATTAAAGGACGAACAGGACGAGGACGTTACCAAGCTGCGATCCCCCAGCCCACAGTCGACCATGCGTCGGTACGTGCGCGAGGTCCTAGAGATGCTCAATCGCGTAGAGTATCAGGTGGACTACTTGCAGGAGGAACGTGAGGAGACACGTATAAAACATGAGAAAGATGTGGAACGGTACCAGGACCGTATTGACGGCCTTGAAGAGGAGGTTCTGTATCAGCAATCCATCATCGATGTCATCAGCGACGACGTCGAACGGCTCGAGCAAGAGACGGAGGGACACAAAAAAGATATCGAAGAGTTCATGGAGCGCGAGCATCGTGATACCGTTGCGCGAAAAAAGCGCATTGCAGTACTGAAGGACCAGATTACCGAACTCGTTGACAACGCTAACTTGTAAATTCAAGTTTTACAGATAGCTACATATGATGTGTAAACGTCTACCATTCTCACAAGCCTGCTCTATCACACGGTTGTAGTGTACTATTAACATATGATTCTCCCATGTCTACGACGTCATTATCAGGCTCTCGTGCACATAAAGCGACATCGCACCATCGCATTCACGACTAACCTCCTTCTCGATGTGCTACCTTGCCACCTGATATTAGGAGGTATTTATCTACATCAATCACTCCCAGGAATTTATATACAATCGACGTGATATGCTACTTAGCGTGTAGTATATAGTATTTGTAAAATATCACAAGTCGTCCATCCATCGGTCGCGGCGCAACAGCAGCCGCGGATAGCCAAACGCCGAACGGTTGGGACCGGGACTGGGTGTAGGGCTAGGAAGAAAAAGAGGAAGCGGGGGAGAAGGCGAAGGAGGAGGAGGAGGCGGCGGCGGCGGCGGCGAAGGTGAAGGAGGAGGCGGCGGAGAAGGTGAAGGAGGCGGTGGCGGCGAAGGAGCGCGCGCCGCGGGACCTACTACCACCTCGGCGAGGAATTGTTTCTGAAATCTCAGAACGTAACGTCCAGCTGGCAGTGGCTGGGTCTTTGGCACTGAGGGCTTCGCCCTCTTCACATAAATGGTCGGCAGGTGCTAAACGATATACATGTCAATTGGTAAAGAGGAAAATCAGCAAAAGACTTACCGAATAGTCTTCATCGTCCGATTCGAACTTGCGTTTGCGAACGAATGTGGCAGGTCTAAAGTTGACCATGACGAGGGTAGATGAAGAGTGTTAGAGTGCGCAGGCAGTAAATATGCAGCAGAAAGAATGATGAGGGAAGAAAAACGCTAAGTACCGCAATTTATGTTGCGGTATTGTGGGTCCACGCGCGGGATACCAAATGCGGTGTGGCAAATGCAGTTCATGGCCATTGTCAGCGGTCTGAAGGGTCTTCCCACGATCGTTCCCTTGATTGTTCCTCTGCCCTTTGGCTTCGGTTGTGAGTGGTTTTTCGGGAGGGGGATAGCGCAATATATTGAATCACAATTCTGACTTTTTTGTATGCACAGGCAGTGCGCAGTGCCCCAAGTGTCATACGACTGCAGCACCTCTATGGACGACGAAGGGAAGACCGTATGCAACGCGTAAGTACCTATTCCTCTACCCCCTTCGTATGTACCTATTCCTTTACCCCCTTCGTATTCACGCTTATACCTCTACTCACAGATGCGGTCTTGACCATAAACGTCACAGGTCCGCACGCCCAATCAGCATCGCATCTCCTTTTGACGCAATCGCCTTGGTCAGACCGATATCATGGCATGCATATCACACCAGCGCCATCATCGTTGTGCCTACCGTCCAACAGAACGCCCGTGGCCCTCGATCTGCTGCTTTAGTGGACTCACCGATAATTTATACAGGCTCCCATCTGCCCGCACCCATGCCCATTCCCGCACTTGCACTCGTGCCTGCGCTGGCATTTGCGTTCGCGGCTGCACTCACACCTACGATTGCGCTTGCGCTTGCACTCGCATTTGCATTCGAACCCGCACCCGCACTTGCAACTGCGGTGACTGTAGTCGCAGCAGGACTGACCCCCAGTGAAAACTGGACCTTACCGGAGCTGCTCGTAGATGTTGTGATATGACTTACCTTATTTGTACTATGTCGGATGTGCCCATTTCTTATCTACTCGTGTTTACCTTTGCATCAGACCACACTTCGTATTGTAAACTGTAAGGTACGTATTGCAACCTGCGCACTGCGCGCAACACTTACACCTCGCACTCACCGTATCGCAAACTATAGCGCCGCACATTATGTAAACTGAGAACTTCGTACTACTACCACAGACGTCGTCTCCCCTGGGACGTAGAATTATTTCACGACAGCTCGAAAAATACCGCCGGCGGAGTTCTGACTTGAGAATGTGGCTGGTCTCGCTGTACGCGCAAGTCTTTCTCTAACCACACCGACCTGCACAGTATGTTGGAGGGTGCCAGTCCTTATTCTAACGGTCAATTCATCCCCGCCAGGAATAATCCACTATTGCAAGAATCCATGTCAGTGGGGAGGAGATGTCAGTCCTTTGGGGCCTTCCCCCCATCCTCGGGCCCGACACCATTGCCTGAGGATCCGTCTATGGACTCTGCCCCACAACAACGGCTGACCCAACCGAATTTTAATATGTATTCAGTGAGTCGTTCCTGATTGCACCGCAACCATGGAAGAACCTTTGAAGGGCGCATATATGCATGAAACCAGTTGTTGCCACCTCCAATATCTCCCGCAAAGCCTTGCGCTGTCAACAACGACAAGCAGAATATCCCCATTGAGACCAGTCTCATTGCCCCAAGACCCGTGAAAATTGCTATCAATCCTCTGTAAGTTGCGCTAGTAATTTTCGTGTCAGTACTGTGCTAATTGCATCTATTAGCTCAACTCTCGCTTCAGCTGCTGCGAGAGTGAGCTTACTCGCTCCTCTCGAGCTGGTAAGCTGGTCGTTTTTTGTCGGACACGTCACCATGACTAGCACTCACTGTTTCCGAACAGTAACTTGTGCGCGCTTCATTGGCTCAAGAACACGAAGACGAGTGGCACAACGGAAGAGTTTTGTCTCTACTACGGAAATCTGGTGTTAGATCAGCGCGAGGTAAGACGCTGGTTCCCATGCACTGACTTATTGATGGACTTGTTCACACCAGAAATATGAAATCGAGGCTATTCTATTGGCGCATGACTTTTGTTTGTTGGCGCTGTTCTAACCATTCGCTCGCGACATGTTGCCAACGATTCTTGGACCTCAGGCAAGTCAGTTTGCAATGGCCAGCTCTACTAAACCTTTCTTCATTCCAATCTCCAGCCTCTCCCCTGTCTGTTCTCTTCATCTGAGTCTCTCGCATCCATCACAATGATTTTTCACGTCGCTGTATTCCTGTTTTCGTGCTATCGTTATCCCGCTTTCGATGCCGCTGCTATGAAATACCTGCAATTCGTACTATCTATTTGAGTTGAAAAATTATGGGGGCATAGATTTTTCCTTCGAGGAAAGTCCCAATATGGTTAGAGAGGGAAAGAGGAAATTATATAATCGGTTACAGAAGGAAAGAAGCATTACATACTTGGTTACAGAGGAAGAACTATGTCTAAAATGGTTAGACTTAATGCCAAGAACAAGGAAAGATGACACAAAGGAAAGGAAAGATGACACAAAGGAAAGGAATGGTGACATAAAGGAAAGGAAAGAAGGTACGAAGGGAAGGAATCATGACTAAGAGGAAAGGAAAGAAGGTACGAAGGGAAGGAATCATGACTAAGAGGAAAGGAAAAGAAGCATGACTAAGAGGCAAAGGTTAGGAAAATCATCACTAAGAGCAAAGGAAAGAAGGCACGAAGGGAAGGAATCATGACTAAGAGCAAAGGAAAGGAAGCATGACTAAGAGGAAAGGTTAGGAAAATCATCACTAAGAGCAAAGGACAAACAAAAGGTTAGGCATTCCTTAATTTTTCCTCGTCCCCCTAATCTATCTCTCCCTATCCTTTACACTCCATCATATCCACCTGATCTCTCAAACACCGCAAAATACTCTATCTCACTCGTCCCTCATGTAAGGTTGACTATCAGTTCAACAGGAAAATGTGAACAAAACATCATAGCTTTGAGACGTGCTAATTGATGACACAAACACAGGTTCTTAGAAAAAGACACTTTCTGAGAGGCATCGGTTGTACTTGGACCGGGGAATCAGTGTACAACATTCTGCTATCAATATGATTGTATATATACAATTTTGAGTGATTGACTAGGCCAGAATGAGCATCAGGAGCATATGGTGAGTGTAGAGATGAATCGTCAACAAGGTTGGGCATTCCTTAATTTTTCCTAGTCCCCCCCAATCTATCTCTCCCTATCCTTTACACTCCATCATATCCACCGATCTCTCAAACACCGCAAAATACTTCATCTCGCTCGTCCCTCAACTCCACCTCCTCACTTCATCTTTCCCTTCTTCCACTACAATCCTATCATAACAACATCTCAACCATCCTCTTCGCACTCCTCCTCTCATCTCTTACTCAATCCTTCCCTACTA